CAGGCTGTATGTAACTGGGAACTCGCTGTTGGCACACGTAGCTGCCCCTTCCCTCAAGACTCTTCACAAACCACTGCAACTGAGGAAAGGCAACAGCTGTCCTGTTCACGTTCCACAGGTTGTGTATCTCCTCTCAAACACATCCCCAGAGGCTCAGGAGGTTTTCTTCCCTTTCACACTGAGCAGACTGTTGTCAAGATTACAGTGATTGTAAAAGCAGGTTTTTTGTGCTGTGTTTGCTCCTGGAAAAAAACCCCAGTGAATCTTGTCCTGTTAATCCCTGAGCAAATGTAGCTGCCTCTTTGGGGATCTTGCTCCTTGTGTGTTGGCCACACGTGGACTCAACTGCATTTCTCCCAAGGCTGGAGCATGTACAAATACATAATCTTCTCTTTTTAAAGCTGCAGCCTTGTTTATTTGTCTTTGAGATCAAATCTGATAATTCTTGGAAAGGCTTTGGGGAGGAGGGAAATTCATCTCCCACGTGGTTAGATTTGACCCGAAAGATGCTAATTCTGGCTAAGCAGAAGAGGGAATGATGCAGGTCTCCAGCTGACAGTGCCTAGGGAATAGTGCTGTGTGTGATGATGGGAGGAACACATGCGAAATTGGAGAAGTTCCTCGAGCCACTGTAGGATACACAGTCCAAAGGTGCAGATCTGCAGCACTGAGCTTGTCATGTGGGGTTGTGTAAGTTTGTGAAGAGCAAGGAAGAGCATCTTTGGCATCAGATTTGGCAACTAGTCCTTGTTTCTTGTTGACTCTTTGCTTTTAACGAGGCTGTGATCTCTCTGCTTCAGCCTGTGCTTCTGTCCAAGACTGTGTGTGTTGCAGGGCGATGGGAAGTGGAGGAGCTGAGAGAAAACACAGTGCCTGGAGACAGAGGGTTGGTGTTGAAGTCTGTGGCGAAGCACCATGCCATATCAGCAATGCTAACAAAAGCATTTACTTTTGATAGCAAACCTTTGATTGTTCAGTAAGTAACCCTCTGATTCCTGCCTGAATGTTTGTTAGCACTCAGGGCTTTAAGTGGGGAAAGTAACATGAACCCCTGTAAAAACATACTGACTTCCACCCTGCAGTGACCTGTCCTACCCAGAGCAACCAGAACTGTAAGTGGGAGTGAGTCAGTAACCTGTTCAGATTGTAGCACAAGTGTGGAGAAGTGAGATTTAAACTGTTTTGAAATATTTTTGGACAGAAGTCTAATATTTTACAAGATTCCTGAAGAAGCTGATTAATTTTCAGTCAGGCTCTGAAAGCTCTGGACCATCTGTAGTCTGAGTATGGTGTTTTTTCACTTAGAGACTACTTCTGTGCAGCTCTGTGAGAACAGCTTGGGTCCTGATGCCTTGCAGCAGCATTAGTGATGGTGCCCCCTGGCAGTAGGACTCGTTTTTCCCTGATACTCACACTAGGTTCGCTGTACTCACAGACATTCCCAGGTGACTCCTCTGGCTGAATCTATGCACCGTGTGTGCAGGTTCAGGGATGGCACAGACCTCCCAGAACTGCCTGTTCCTGGCTCCTGTTGGTGTTTGTGTGCTGGTGGATACACCCTTGAAGCTTCCCTTGCTGGTGATCCCCAGTGTTTGAGTCTCTGTCCTGTGCCAGACATCACTGCTGGGTTGGCTCGTGTGGCAATCCAAACCTCTCCCTTGCACAGAGGTGTTCTGGCAGTAGTGACATGCACAGTCCTGGTGGATTCCTGATCAGAACTGCAGATAGAAGTTAATTTGTGTTTTCTGACACTTGGAATGTTTATTTCCCTTTGCCCAGGTACGAGGTGAATTTTCAGAAAGGCATTGACTGTGGCGGTGCTTACATTAAGCTTCTCTCCAGCAGTGATGACCTGAACCTGGTATGTCCTTTCTCTGTCAGCAGCAGCAACTCTGCTCTCCACGGGTGGTGTCTTAGGTCCAGGACTTGTGCCTGTTCAGCCTGACTTTCTGTATTGACAGAAACCATAGAATCTCAGCCCATAACACAGTATTTTACTGCACAGCACACACATGTTAACATGTGTTCCACACGGGAAATGTGACTGGGTGGAAGATAGTGACATAACTCAGCAGTTTGGTGCAGCATGCCCTGAAGGACAATAGCTGCATTGGATCTTCTCAGTGCTGTTTGTTGCTGTTACTCAATGCGGAGGGGAAAAATCCTGATAAAATCCTGGATATTAATAACCTGGGGTTTATCTTTAGAAAACAAAATTCCTAGGGAGAACAGTAACTGGGTCCCTTCCATCTCTTGGTGTGATATTTGTAGGAGGATGTAGGTACTTGAGTGCTCTGGCTTGTGACAGGCATTTCTGCTTAACCTTAAGGGTAAGGTCTGAAGAAGCCTGTGCAGTTCCTTCCATGTTTTATCCTTTTAGAACAAGTGACTGTGCTGTGTGCCAAGGGACAGAAAGGGCTTCATACAATGTCCAGTGTAACCCATGCTCAGCTTTCTTGCTCCTACAGGAATACTTTTTTGACAAAACACCTTACACTATTATGTTTGGACCAGATAAATGTGGAGAAGATTACAAACTGCACTTTATCTTCAGACATAAGAACCCTAAAACTGGAGAATACGAGGAAAAACACGCTGAACGTCCTGATGTAGACCTAAAAAAGTTCTATTTGGACAAGAAGACACATCTGTATACTCTTGGTATTGTTTAACTCCTACAAGTCGAAATAGGAAAGCAGAAATGAAGTGTTTCTGTCTGCTGAAGCTCTGTAATTGAGTCTGTTTGTAAGAGTTGGTTAATTCTGAGGGGTGGTGGCTTAATAATTTGGCCTAAATGATTTAATAACTAGGCCTAAGTGGTTTAATGACTGAGCTTAATTGCAGGACATAAAAGTGGCTTCAAATGCTGCTGTTTGACATTCAGTTACAGGAAGAAACATCTCAGCCCTGGCCAGCCTGTAGCATAAGGGATTGATTAATGCTCTCAGTGTTTGTGATGATGGAATTATTTTATTGAGCAAGATATTAAGGCATACAACTGTCCAATGTTCTGGGAAGGGGTCAGAGTTCCCAGGGATTCAGTTAAATCTGCAGCTGAAGGGACAGTGGATATAGCAGCTAGCCAGCAAACACACTTCTAGGTGCTTATCAGAAGTGGGACTGGGTCTGACCCTGCTCAGTCCTGTGGCTCCTGTCACTCACACTTGCTGACATTCCTTCGAAGGGAATTTCCTGTATTGGCAGCTGAGGGAGATGACTTAGGGGTTTGAATCTGCTTTAGTCCTTCAGCTGTGTCACTGGCACAGCTCTTGTGTCTCTGCTTTCCAGGTGAGACTGGAAAGGAGCAGCAGAGAAACCTTTGGGGCAGAGGTTTGTCTGTGCTCTTGAAGTAAAAAGGCAGAATTTTGGCCAAGGGGCAGGTTTTTGAAAAATCCTGGAATGTGCTTGGATGTGTTTCAGCAATTACACTTGCGAGAGGATTATTTCTGGGGCTGATGCTGCTCATACATCCCTCGAGGCCTTGGCCTCATACCCGGGCCCCATCCCTGGGCGAGGAGTCTGTCTCCTGCTCTGCCACCTGGGTCTGTGGGTTTGTGGTGCAGTGTTGGTTAAAGGGATTTGTGAAATGAATGCTTCCCTTATTTCTGCAATGTGCATCTCTTCAACTCAGTGCTCAAACCGGACGACACGTTCGAAATGTTGATCGACCAAACCATTGTCGGCAAGGGAAGTCTTCTGGAGAACATGGTTCCTCCAGTCAACCCTCCCAAGGAGATAGATGATCCCAGTGATAAGAAACCTGACGACTGGGATGAGAGACCAAAAATACCTGATCCAAATGCTGTCAAACCTGATGACTGGTAAGGAGAACGTGTTTATCTCTACAGGTGATTTGTTTGAGAGACTTGGCTGGTTTTATTTTGGGGTTCCCCAGTGACCATCAGGATATGTTTCACTAAGAGCACTAAGGTTTGGAAACACAGCTGAGGTGTGTACATGGATCTGGTCGTTCTAAGGAGACAAATCAAAACTGCTTTTTGCTGACGTCAAGCCCTCCATGGGTGCAGTTAATAACTAAGATTGCTGCCCCTGAGTAAGAAGTGTTTGTTTCTGCCATGTAGTCTTAATTTGCATTCAATGATTTCTACTTCCTTCTGTGTGAACTACTGTTCATATGGCAACTCAGGAAGAGTAGGGAAAAACTAAGTGGGAAGTCCTGACTGACACCTGCCTGTTGTCAGCAACTTCTGGACTGACCAGTGCTATAAACCAATGTCAGTGTAATTCAGACATGTGTAAACAGATAACTGGATGTCTGACTCGTGATCAGTGAGGCTAATTCTGTTGTGCCCTTGAAGCTCATCCCTTCCATGCCAGTTACAGCCCCTGAACAGATTGTCCAAAGTCAGGCTGCTGTGTGTTCTAACAGAGGTCTGTACTTGAAGGGATGAAGATGAACCTTCCAAAATAGAAGATCCTGATGCTGTTAAGCCTGAGGGGTGGCTGGATGAGGAGCCACAGTATGTTCCAGACCCTAATGCAAAGAAACCAAAGGACTGGTAAGTGCAGGTTGTGCCTGGTGGCTAACACTGCCTGTTCTCCGTGGCAGGTCATGGGAGTCAGTCCACACCTCGGTGTCTTTCGAGGTGGTGAGTTGGGATGTGTAAGGTGTGGCTAAGCATCTATAGGTTTGGGGCACTGCTTCTGTAGAAACATGAGCGTGTCCATTGCCTTTGTTTTCTGAGGATCTATAAGCAAGACCAGAATGGGAAGGACTCCTTTGAAAACACCTGCTGTAGGTTAGGCTGATAACTTGAAATCATGACATAGGAGTCCCAAAGGGATCTCTAAGCATTCCAGGGAGAAGTGTCTGGAGCTCTCTGCAGATGCAGGAGTGTCACCGAGGGCAGTCCTGCTGTGGTGGTTGTGAGCACGTGACCTGTAAAAAGCAGGTGCAGCACTCCCTGACACCGAAGTGTTCAGCCTGGTGGGTGCAGCTCTGAGCTGGTCACGGGTCTGAGGCTGTTAGAGCAGAGTGTGCATGGACCCCAAGCCCAGCCTGGCAGTGTCCTAGGCCTGTCCAGTCCTGCAGCAGTGGTTTGTAATGCTTATCTTCTCTCCCTAGGGATGAAGAAATGGATGGGGAGTGGGAAGCCCCTCAGATTCCTAACCCCAAGTGTGAGGCTGCCCCTGGCTGTGGGCACTGGGTGCCTCCCATGAAGAATAACCCCAAATATAAAGGGAAGTGGAGAGCACCTATGATAGATAACCCTAACTATCAGGTAATAGCCAAACTGTAGGTTGCTGAAAGGTGCAGAGTTCAGCAGAGCAAGCAAGTTAGGCTCTTTCACAGTCTATTTGAAATTAGAATGAGTCTGAATTCCCTTACTAAGCATTTTGAGATTTTTTTTTCATTTCATTTGCTTTTTGTTTTCTTCAAGTGCACTGTAAAACAGAAATGTTTCCTGTATTAACACAATTTGGTTGTTTGAAGTTGCTTTTTGTCCAATTTGCACTGGTACCATGTACTTAATGTGCCCTATAGAGTTGTGTTATGAATTACATTATCATTTAATGAGATATTCTAAGTTTGATTGGGGGTCCAAGTGTGAATCTTTTGAGTGAACACTTTTTTTACGTTAGAAGAAACAGCTCAGTAAGCAGATTGACTTACTAGTTCGACTTTAGAGGAAGCATCAGTTTTGGATAATTAAATTCCCTTCCTGCCCTTCAGATGTAAGAGTAATGAGTTGAGTATTAGAGTCACTTTGTATTAGTTATGGCTGGGGAGTACTGGAAACTGATTTCTCTGAGCTTAAGATCCTAAGCAGGTTTGCAAACAATTTGGCTCTAATCTGCATAGAAGTCACAACACTGAATTTTGCTTTCCCAAACCTTTCCCTGACCCTGATGGAAACATTGAGTTACTACTGTAACCTGCCTGAACAAAAGAAACAGCTTTCAAGGCCTGCCCTCAGCCATGGAATTGAGGCCCATCTGCCAGAGTCCCACAGAGTTCCCAGTTCTGGCTCTGTGTGGGTCAGACTCTGTTGCTTGTCTTGCTAAGTCATGCACTTAAAATAGCTGAGAAGTTCTAATTGCTGCCAAGTTCCTTTCTCAGCCTGTTTTCTGGTGAGCCACAGGTGATGTGGTGGCATGTTTTCCCACTGACAGGGCATCTGGAGCCCACGGAAGATCCCAAACCCAGACTACTTTGAGGATCTGCACCCGTTCAGGATGAGCCCTGTCAGTGCTGTTGGCCTGGAGCTGTGGTCCATGACCTCCGACATCTACTTCGATAACTTCATTCTGTGCTCGGAGAAGGAGGTGGCAGATCGCTGGGCAGCTGATGGTTGGGGGTTGAAGAAGTTGGTGGCGAGTGCTAATGAGGTACAGACTTTGTTGTTGATAGCAGACAGTGGTGAAGGAGCTGTGCTGTTGGCAGGAGTTGCTTAGTTAATGCTGACAGTATTAATTTGTCTGCAATTAATTAATGATCTTACTGAGTAACTCTGAGATTGTTTGTTTTTCTCGTAGTTTGGCTTTTTGTCTTCCCCAGATCAGTATCTTCTTGAAATTAAAAGAGTAGAACATTTTACTTAAGCACCTAGTGAGGAATTGGCTTCGTGATGAGTGTTGTGCTGCTGACAGCCAGTGGAAGCTCAGTTATTGCACCCCACTTTCCCTTGAGGCTGTATCCGTGGTATAGATTCCTTAGGTCTTTCCGTCCTGTGAGGAATGGATAAATACCATGTGTTTGTTTCTGTTTGACCATGTCGGGCCTGTGGTTGCTCAGATGCACGTTGTGCAGCTCTGAGCCTGCTGCAGGTGTCTGCAGAACTGTGTCTGCCATCCTGTGGTGCCAGCTCAGGGCCCTGCAGCTTCCCATGCAGCTCCCTGTGGCACGGGGTGTCTGCCTGCACTGCCCCTGCTTTGCCCTGTTCCAGGGGCTTCGTGTGTGTGTGTGTGTGACCCTGTATCTCTACGTGTATCAGGATGGCACAACCCCGTGAGTCACCCCACTGTGCCTCTCAGATTCCTTGGCTGCTGCTGCTTCCTGCACAAGGCACTTGCTAACTGTGCCTAGTGTCCAAGTCAGAGCTGGGCTGGGGGGACAGCTGACCCCCTGAAGGTGGCAGGGGAGCAGGGGCAGGCACTGCTCCCTGGGAGGGTTGGCTGCTGCCCGAGGTTCTTGGTGCTTTGGAGCTTTCAGCTGAGCTAGCACAGCACGTGGGAAAAGTAGTTTCTGGGCAGGGTGTAAAGTGTGAGATTGCCAAGACCCCAAATGTCACTGTAGAAAGGTGAGTCATGGCCAGTCTGGCATGGTTGGAGTACTACATCTGTTCCTTCTTGCTCTCACCTCTCCTTTGCTGTCTGTACAGTTGTTACTTTGCTAGACTGAATGTTGTTAGTCATTAAAAAATGAAGGCAAAGAGGGTTTTCTTTGGACAACACAAGTGTATGCAGTGTATTTCATGAGCTTAATAGAAGTGTTGAGAAGGATGTGAATGCAAAATTGTTTTTCTTTTAAACACAGCCTGGGATGTTTAGCCAGCTGGTGACTGCTGCAGAGGACCACCCCTGGCTCTGGGTTCTCTACATCCTGACTTTAGCTCTCCCTGTTGGTCTGAGTGTGTTGTTCTGCTGGCCAGCAAAGGTAGGAGAAATTTGCTATATTTGTTTTGATTTTGTTCTTAATGCTTTGTTTGAAAACTGAGCATCTGTGCAACAATGTGCACTGTTAGCGTGCCCTTGGTGTTGGCTTACAGTGACTGCTGTGCTTCATTCTTGATTTGAGATGTAAATCGATTTTTAATTTGTCATAGAAAACAGATGAATATATTGACTTCAGAAAAACTGAAGCACCTAAGCAAATTACAAAGGGAGAGCTAAAACAAGAGGGAGAGGAGCTAGAAGATGATGAACTAGAGGAAGAGAAAGAAATGGAAGATACTGCTGAAGATGGTGAGATGAGCATGTCAGCTTGCAGTTTGGTTAGATGTACAGCTGTGACTAGAACTCATTCCTGGGTTGCATTGCTGACCACTGCAGCCAGTGACCTTAGCACACTGCAGCCTGCCTTGCTCTGAGCCTTTTCCCCTGGGCAGCCTCCAGCGAGTGGCTTCCCGTGGCTCACAGCTCTCTGATAAACCAGCAGGAAGAAGTTTCTTCTCAGTACTTCTCACTTTCAGGACATGGATGTGCTTCCCACAGCCTGTTCTTGTAGACAGTGGTGCATGTTTTGTCCCTTCTCAATATTTCACATGCTGAGCGCATTTGAGTGGCTCAGAGATAAGTACCTGAAGTGGTTAAAGCACGTTGTTGTCTCTAAAATGTGTTTGGAATAGCTCTGAGTCTTTGATGTAAGTCCCTCTCCTTGCTCTGTGGGAGGGTTGTACCTGCAGCTGTTCTGTTGGTCACTGGCTTTAGTGAACTCTTGTTAAAGCCTGAAGGTGCAGTAGACTGGAAGCACTGCAGTCTGCTGGTTCTTCTGTGTTGCTGTTTGGGGAGGCATTGCAGGCCTGCAGAGCTCTGTCCTGCAGCCCAGGGGACAAACCAGTGGTGCAGGGGTAGAGCTGAACTTTGGCATCCAGGGCTCAACTCACCTCGTGTGGCTGTCGGAGATTACTGGTGCTATTCAGCTGTGGCTTTTATGTGCTGTCAGCATCTCCCTGCGTCTGCATAATGAATCAAAAGCAAATCACCCAACCTACAGTGCATTATCTTGACTTCCATGAGAAAATCTTTAGCTTCAGAACTCTGCAAGATTGTTTCTCTTACTTCACTCTTCCTTGGCAGGAACAGGACAAGTGAGGAGTGACTGGCATGGATAATTGCAGACCTAGCAGACAGTCAGTGTGGTTTTTCTTTGTCCTGACATCACTTTATAGTGCTGACTGATACCTGATGGGTTCTGTCCCCCTTTGCACCATGTTCCATGACTGTTGATGGCTTCTGTCTGACTTCAGAATTTACTCTGCACCAGCTGTTCCCATGCCAGTGCTGACAGAGTGAAGTCCGTTGCTGGCACAATGCTTGGCACACCAAACTCAGTCCTTCTGCCCTCCTGCTGGAGAGCCTTACCCAGGCAGTGATTGGTTAGGTTATGCCACATTCTGTACATTAAGCTGTAGGGACATAATTTCAGCAGTGTTTCTTCCTTTTGGTCTTACTCTGCTCTACCTGTTCATTGCTCCTGATTGAGATTCTAATTTGTTCTACCCAGTCTTGGGTAGATCATAGATACAGTTTTTACCTACTCTGCTGCTGCTGCGAGGCTGAGAGATGCCTCAGTTCTGTGAAGTCAGTTAATTTAGCTAATCACAACACATCACTCGATGAGTACTAGGCTGAAGTGCTTGTTGGAGTGTGAGAAATAAGGCCCAGGCAGTTGCTGAGAAACAGAACACTAGTTAGTTCCCACAGCTTCTTAAAGTTCCACTTAGAACAGCTGTTCATGGTGTTTCAAAGGCAGGTTCTGTTTCAAACCTTATTCTAGATCCTGAACTGAGCACAGAGCAAAACTGACCTAGCTAGCTCTTGTCCGGCTGTGCCAAGGTGTTCAGGTGACTTCAGGCTTCAGAGGAAGGGTTACCCTTTGCTGTCGTGTGACTTTGTGGTTTCTTTCTTCAGGATGAATCCTCCCCTTACCTTACCTTCCTGCCACCTTTTACATTTCCAAGGGGAAATCTTCCCTTTTTTCCTGTTGCTCCTTCAATATCTGAAAGCGTTAGAGAATTTCTCTTGTGCCTCCTTGTGCTGATTCTTTGTGCTGCAGAGAGAAGACAAATGGAGGAGACAAAAGGAGAGTTTATAAAGGATGTAGAGAAGATGGGAAGGGAGGCTTCTCTGCCAGGTACTGCAAAGGGAAGTAATTTGGGCCAGGACTTGGAAATTGTCTCCTCTCTGGTTTCTTCTCCCTTCTTCCTTGCTGGTGGTAGAACTTGAGGCTGGTGGATCCAACTCCCATCATCTCGCCCTGTGGTGTTGTAAATATTTTCTCCTAGTCTTTTTGGCTCCTTGTCATTTTTACAGATGCTTTATAGTGGTTATATGACTGTATTGTGGATTCTCCCTCACTGGAGATACTCAGGAACCCCCTGGACACAACCCTGAGCCATGTGCTCTGGGCTGGCCCTGCCTGAGCAGGGAGGTGGGACCAGTGACCCACTGTGGTCCCTTCCAGCCAACCCACTCTGTGCTATCTCCTCCTTTGTGTTGTGAGGTTGGAGGTAGTGTGGTTTGAGCTGTGGAATTCTGAGCGACTTGAAATCCACATTTTGTCATGGGGCCAGTAAAAAAGGAAAGACAAAGTGTAGCAGAATAGCAGATGCCAGAAACTGCTGGAGGTTTCTCTGACTCTGTGAGAATGAGTTGCTGGCAGATACTCCTTGAAGGGCTAGTCCATGGGATTTACTGGTTTGCTTTGTTCTGTGTCCATTCCTGTGGCAGTGCCAAAGGATGGTGTGCTCTTGATGTGTCCCCTTGGCTGCTCTGTCTCCTTGCTTGCTTTGCCCTCTGGAAGGATATTCTGGGAAGTAAAAAATGCTGCCACAAAAAAGAGTTTTGGAACCTTCTTTGTGATGCTGTGCATCCATTTCTATGAAACACTGTTTGAATCACTGTTAGACTGTATTAACACGAGGAATTTTCAGTAGCATAGTTGTCCAGTTCTGGCTTTTACAGCTTCTGAGGGCTGAGGGCTTTTATTCATTTTGGCTTTTCCCCTCTGTTGGAATCAGCATTGTGGGAGGGGCTGAAATTGGCCATTTCTAATCTCATCATTAGAATATGAGCGAGGACTTGGTGAATTTCTGCCAAGCTTTTCTGTTAGGAGCATATTTTTGGAACAGAGATCTTAGTCTGCATCTTTCTCTGCTTGGCCCTCAGCAGAGCAGCCTGCTGGAAGAATTTCCTGAGAAAAGAGGAGCTCCCTTGGGGTGTGTGTCCCCCACGCTGGGTGAGCAATAACTGCAGTGCCATACTTTGCTGCCTAAGTCAGAATTTAGGCAGATTTGGGATGCCCAAGTTGTCCTGTTCTACTCTGGTCTCAAAATTGCCCAACACGATCCTTGGATCTAAAGTAAATCAAGTCCTTTTAGTCAGTCATAAGTCTGAAGAGACCCTGGTCTGTGGTGGAAAGAGGTGAAGCTGGAGCTAATTGGTGATCAAATCTGACAGTGATCACTTTTTACCCATTAATGAGAATCCTGCTCTGTGTCATGACTGGGTTTTGTGGGTTATTCTGAACAGGCCATGGAAATTGGCTTTCTGTCCTCACTGGTGTGTCTGGGTATAAACTAGCATTTTGAATAGAGTTCTATTCACAAAGTAAAACTGACTCCTTTGGCAGAGGATGAGGGCGAAGGTGGTGAAGATATGGATGAAGATGAAGAAAATGAAGTTGCAGATGGAAGTCAAGAAGAAGGTGATATGTCAAACAACTCTGATTCAGAAGATGAGGTAAGTTGGCAGGGATTTTCCCGTGTTTTCTCCTTGCCCTAGTCCAGCATCAGACTCCTAACTCAGCCCAGTTACCTACAGCAAGTGTTTTCCTTCTGTTGAGCCATGCAGCAAATCCTGAGGTGGAAATACATTTTTGTTTGTGTGACACCTCAAATGCTCTGTATAAAACAGTATAGCAGTGATCATGCAGATCCCCAAACAGGGAATGTTTTAACAGAAGTATAGTTTTTAACAGGCTGTGAAATGAATTGCAAGTCTTGGAAATTTGGGTGCTGCGATAGGTGTCAGTCTTCATTGTGCTACTCCATTGGTGGGACATGTGAACAACCAAGTGAACAACCTCTTTGTGGCACCCAGGAGAACTTAGCCTCTCAGTTACCTTTTGTGATTCCAAAACAAGGTTGTAAGCAAAGTGGCCACACTGAATTCAGCACCTGCAGTTCAGTTTGGCTTGTGCAGATTATTCCAGTCACCCAAAGAGTCTGTTGTCTGTTTGCCATAAGGTAACACTGTAGAAAGAGAGGTGTGTGTGCTTTCCTTGCTTGTCAGCTGCTCACTGTCCTTTCCTGTGGAACCTGGGGCGTGTGAAGGGCTGGAAACCCACCCCCTGGCCATGTCTGCTCCACTCTCTCCGAGGAGGAGTCCCTGCCCACGTCAGGGCACTCAGTTCCTTCCCATGGACAGAGCTCTAGGAAGCTGTGCTGGGTGTGAGGTGCCACTGTTTGGGCCCTGCAGTCCTTCCTGAATCACCCCTTGCTCAGCTCTGTCTCTTGTCCCTGTAAGGTTTTGTCCCTGTACATTTACCTAGGAGTGGAGTGTCCGATGGACCCTGTTGGGTCCGGGTGAGCCTTTGTGAAAGCAGTGACCAGTCTGTGTGTGCCACTGCACAGTGTCACACTGAAGTTTGGCTTCCTTTTCCCTGAGTCTCCGGCGAGCACAAGTTTCTGCCCTGAGTTAGCTGCTGACCTAGGTGGGAGGTGTCAGCAAGTCCTCCTCGGGCTGGGCCAGGCCCCGAGAGCTGTTCCCTCTGCACTGGCTGCTGCAGGAAGGTGAGGGAGCAGCGCTGGGAGCTGAGCTCTCGCCACGGGACACCTCGTGTGCCTCTGAGCTCCTCAGCTGGCACAGCACAGCCCTCGTGGGGACAGTCTGCTCTCCTGCAGCTCTCCAGGGGCATCTGGGAACAGCTTGCTCTGCTTGTAGCTCTGCAGAGGGGAGGGTTGGAATGTTTTAAATGCTTTTTGCGTCGGAAGTGGAAATTAAAACCGGCGTAAGGAAGTTGCCAAATTCATTTAAAAGTCACTTTTCTCAAACCAGTGAATAAATGGGCAAACCCGTTCCTGGCATGAGTTTAGGTGTGGTATTCTCTTCCTTCTGAATACAGAAAGGAGAAGTGTCCCACGCACTGGTGTGTGGCTGGCCCTGCGCTGAGGGACGGTGTGCCGCGCTGGGTGCCAGCAGGACTGGGCTCAGGGCGGGCTGAGGGCAGCGTGCCACTCTTGTACCTGACGGGGTGCTGTGGGATGCTGGTGCTGACTCTGCTGTGTTTTCCAGAAGAAGGAGGCAGCTGGAGGCACTGAGGACGGGCCCCTGAGGGCCGTGCGCAAGAGGAGAGCGCGCAAGGACTGAGCTGCTCCCGGCACAGCCTGCAGGCCTGGGGGCAGCAGCTCCAGGTGGGCCTGGGCCTCGAGGGAAAAGGGGCACTCGTGGCTCCTTCACCTCCTGCTTCGACTCTGACCTCTGCACCCACCCCAACTCCCCTGGTTCCCTTCCTGAGGGAGGCGTTGACTGCTGTTCCACCTTCCGACTGACAAGTTGGCATCTCGTTTTTAGGTGAAGGTTGTTAGGAGTTGAACTTTCCTAGAAATTAGCATTAGTTGGAGATGAACTTCCTCTAAATATTTTTTAAAGGAATAAATTATACTACTTTTGCAGCTCTAGCACAAAATCAGCTGTTGAGTTTTCAGCTGAAGGAGGGTGATAGTGTAGATGTAGCATCTGTAGCAGTTCACATTGCTATGAGAAAAAGATATTTTTTGCTGTGCTGAGCTCGATGCAATAACTGTTTTTGTATGATGACTTTGTGCTAGCATCGATTTTTATTGTAAAGTATTTATTTGAGTTGATCCTGTGGCATGGGTGGTCACCTGTTAACCTTGGGCATTGGCTGCAGCCAGTTATTTATAAGGGATATTGCAAATAGATCACCCTCAGAACAAGTGATTGGTGGGACTTGGTTTACTTTGGATGCAGGATCAGAGCTGCAGGAGTGATACACAGGTGAGTTTTTCAGACTTTTATAGTGTTCATGTCCCAGGCCAGAGTGGTATGACCTCTATTTATAGAATACTTAACCTTGGGCATTGGCTGCAGCCAGTTATTTATAAGGGATATTGCAAATAGATCACCCTCAGAACAAGTGATTGGTGGGACTTGGTTTACTTTGGATGCAGGATCAGAGCTGCAGGAGTGATACACAGGTGAGTTTTTCAGACTTTTATAGTGTTCATGTCCCAGGCCAGAGTGGTATGACCTCTATTTATAGAATACTTGCTAAGTGTACAACCCCAAAT